TCCTGAGTTTCTAAAATCCAATGTGGTTTAAAACCAATATGTTCCTAATATCAAAGAGTAAGGTGAACTCTATGACAGTTTTTAAGTTTCTAATAATATTTATAAATCTATGGTAATTTCTTATATAGTACACCATGTGCAAAACCTAAACATAATGTCCATAGACAAGAAAACAAGATGTGTGTCAATGTCAATTCTAATCCAATCTGTCAATTGTCAAGTCAAGAAAGCGAGCGGGAGGGTGAACCGGCCGTTATTTAGATACATATTGTTTTTATTATATCCCTCTAAACCACGCTCAAACAATATTCATGATTTAAAGTCTAATAACTATTTCGTAGTATATAGTGAACATAACACCGTGTTAGAGATTTTGTAAATTTACAAGTTTTACAAACTTACATTAATAACCTATTGTGCACGATGGCCGACGACGATTTCAGTAAACTATTGCAACAAGCAGAACAATTAACCACTGAAATCGAAGGCAATGAAGAGTTGCCGAGAGTGGAACGTTCTTTGGGCCAGGTGCTTGAGGCGTCCCAGGAGTTGTATTCAAGAGTTATCCAGTCAGGAGCAAATGATATCCAAGCGTAAGGCCTTGTTGATTTTACTTATCATAACTTATTTCTACTGTTTGTTTTATATTCTTGACGTAATCTTCGAATGTGATTTATTGCAGACATCTACTATTTGGTTCAAAAGGAATAGATTTACAACAGATATCTCAGAAACTTGAAACTCTCAGCTCCAAACGAACTTTCGAGCCACTCCAACCTATAGCCGATTCTGACATTGAAAGCTTTCTTAGGAACGAAAGAGAAAATGCAATTTTGTCTTTAATTGATGAGGTTAACAAAAATGTAAGTGTAAAGTCTGTTTTCACTATTTAATCAAAATAGGTAGTTGCAATTACCACAACTATGCATTAAAACATACCAGTAAGTTTTGTGGTGCTGGACAATTCTAGTAAGAATTTTTTAAAATTACCTAAACGGATAGGTCTGTCTTGAGTATAAAAAAAGAAAAAATGAAATTATTGGAGACTAATAGAGCAAATCACACTGACTTGGCTTTAGGTTGTAGTTAATATTTTTGTGAGTAGTTGCCTTTTAAGTTCACCTTGTTATTCTACTTTCAGTCCCTACAAACTACTGAAGATCAGAAATGGGAACACATGCTCTCTGAATGGAACAGAGAAAAGATTAAGTTGATGAATGCTATGATTGGTCCTTCTCAAAATTGGCTGGACCTGAAGAGGACCCCAGAGCCACCAAGTATTGCAGATGCACCAAAGAAGTTTGGGCATTCCATGCTAGACAACATAGAGGCTGCATACTCTAGACAAGTACACCAGTACAACAAGCTTGTGTTCCAAGGATCTAAATCAAGGACAGCTTTACATCAGAAATTCACACAAGTTGCTGAAGAATTTAATGATCCTGTTAGTAATTATGCTGTTATTTAAAAATTATAACATGCATTTATGTGCAACAATAAATTCATTTTACTGATTAATATTTTCAGAAAGTTAAGGAAATGTGGGAGATAATAAAGACAATGGCGAATATTCCAGCCCTAGTTAGAGATGAGGACCCTCTGAAGGCCAGAGGCAACCCTACCATACAACAATGTCTTGTGGCTCAAGGAAAGAAATATTTAGAGAAAAGGTACATTCTATGAGATTATAACAGTATATTCCCAATTAAAGAAATGACATAGCAAAAGTATCCCAACTATGAGTTTCTACAAAAATTTTAGGAAAACAAGTGTGGATGGATTTATTTTTGGAAATATGACACATGTGTGACCATACTTAAATTTATTAAAGTGAAGAACAATTTCTTGACTGTTGAAAAATGAATTATTAGTTTCCATAACTGAATTTAATTGCACATTTATTTTACTGGCTTCTATCCTGCCTTATTTGACTGCTCTATTGGTAGAGTGGAAGCAAGTGCGAGTGCCGGGCAAGGGGTCTCATTAATTGCCATAATGTGCATCTGTACTGACGTTTTTCGGGGATAAAAGGCATGACGTTATGTGTGTTATTTTACTTGTAGATATAAACTGTACATGAGCGATGTCGTGCGTGCGAACCCTGCAGCAGCGATGCGTGGTGGAGAGCCTGGCACATACCCACTAGTGAGAGGGTTTGTAGGGCTCCGCTTACAAGGACAGAATGTGCAGGTGTTGACTGACGGCGTCATTGATGAACGCCCGCTCTGGCCTATGGTCTATTACTGCCTTAGGAGTGGAGATGCTAATGCTGCCCTGCATTGCCTAAGAAAGGCAGGGTATGTATTAAGACTTCATAAAAAATCATTTTAGTGATTTTAATTCATGTCAAAAGCTTTAAACTTAATTAAAAAAGAAATGTTTCTCAGCCGAGATCACGAAGAATTCATATCAGCTCTTGAAGAATACATAAAGAATCCAGAGAAACCTTTAAGTGATAAACTTCAAACCGCTATCAACTTCCACTATAGAATACAAGTGCGAAACTCTACAGATCCTTATAAACGAGCTGTAAGTATAAAAAAACATAGTCATAGTACTGAACACAGACTTATGTATGCCTGTGAGAGTAAATGTAATGATGATTATCGTGTTTCAGGTATATTGCGTCATTGGTTGCTGTGATCTAAGCGACGAACATTACGAAGTGGCGCGCACGGCAGACGATTACCTGTGGCTCAAACTTTCTTTCATCAAGTCACGCAGCAACAATGAGACCGAAACATTTTCTTATTCTGATTTACAGAAAATGATTCTAGAAGAATATGGTAATTATTAATTAAATTACTCAGTGATTCCTAAACTAACGTCCTGTTGGCGTAGATAGAACCTAAAGAGCGCCACAGACGATCCTTACATACTTCTATAACTTCCATCATTGTATGATCTAAAATATTTTTGGCTAATACATTTTATTGTTTTTTCAGGTGAGACTCATTACCATGCTTATGAGAAACCAGTTGTGTATTTCCAAATGCTCACTTTGACTGGACAGTTTGAACCTGCAATTGAATTCCTGTCGAGAATTCCAAGGTACCAATTTATCAACCAACATTTGATGTTTGCTATACAATTTCTTAGTCAATGTTTGCTATACAATGTTCACGAGCACTTTATTAATTAAATAAAATGTTATTCCAGATTCCAAGTACATGGTGTGCATATGGCATTAGCTCTTCACGACGTATACATGTTAGGAACACCGCGCAACGTTCAAGCACCATTATGTAAGTACATGCACAATAATCTATTTAAAACTATCAGAATGTTAATTTAAAAAAAATATTATTTATGGTGAATTGTGTATTGTTTTAGTGTCAGTCGACACCGACGATCCAACACCGCTCCGGCGTCTGAACTTGGCAAGACTTTTACTGCTGTATGTCAGGAAGTTTGAACTCACTGATCCATCTGATGCTTTACATTATTACTTCTTTTTAAGGTAAATCAGTCAAATATAAATTTCATGTTTAGTTTATATATTAATTTATTAACATAATATTTTTTTATTTTTTACAGAAATCTTAAAGATCCCAGTGGAAAGAACTTGTTTATGTGTTGTTGCACGGATCTGGCTCTTGAGAGTCGCGACTATGACTTGCTGTTCGGGCGAATGGACGCAATGACTGGGCTGCGCAGCCCTGGCCTACTGGACCAATTCAACAACCCACATATTGATAGCAAAGTACGTATATTGTATAAAGCGTAAGCATTTTTAGGAAATAAATTTGTGGATCTATTAAATGGTTGATGACATGACTCTGTTTATTTCAGGTTATAGCTCTAAATGTAGCAGAGCAGCTTGTGAACAAAGGCCTATTTGAAGATGCCATAACAATGTATGACATTGCTGGGGTAAGTTCTCAATATTCACTTGTAGTATGTAATGATTTAGATTATCGAATTAACAAGAAACTTAAAAAAAACCTGCTCCCTTAAAGGCTACTTTTATCTACCTGCCATGCGGACGAACCTGCACACGAAATCGTTTTCTAATATGTTGTATTTTTACTTTCAGAACTTAGAGAAGGTTTTAGAACTATTCTGTGTTCTATTAGCACAAGTAGTGAATAGTGGCGGAGGTGCGGGTGGGTTACGTCAGCGCCTGTCAGTTCTCGCTGAGCATGTGTCAAAGAGATTACGTTCGGCTGACGGCAGCTCGCTCCCTTCTGCTTTGGTTGAAGCCTACACTAAACTATGCAAGTTGATGACCTTCTTTGATCAGTTCCACAGTGAAAATTTCGAAGGCGCTATTGAGGTAATGATAGCATTCAAGTGATTCAAGTTGATCACATATTTTTTAACAGTTTCTAAAATAATTAGAATTTTGTTTTATTTGCAGACACTTCGCGATTGCGAATTAGTGCCGTTGAATGCAAGTGAGCTAGATGCCCGCGTATCGGCTGCGCGAACGGCGCGTGGTGAGCTCTTGCGTAGTTTGCCTGCTGTATTGCGAGCACTCTGCAATATTCTTCTAGCGCAACGACAAAAGTTACGCACAGCAGCTCAAGCCCAACCACTTGCATCACAGAACAATAAGGTGAGGAGAGTCTTTGTGAAGTTCATCACTGTGGAGCGAAGTAAATAGTATGATATCAATATTAATTTTTTGCTGTTTGGGTTTTAGCAAGTGGAATGGCTACGTGAACAAGCTGAAGTACTGAACACCTTTGCTGGTAACATTGCGTACAGAATGCCAGGCGACACCTACAGTCAGTTGGCACAGATGCAGATACTGATGCACTAAGTAATACATATTAATAAGGAACATTTGGTTATAAAAGTCTTTTTGATTACATATTATATTTTAATTAAGAATACTGTGTTTTAATAAGGAACTACACATTCAATTCAAAAAATATAGGCGGAACAACATAATTAGCAATTATAGAAAATATTTTAAATCAGTCTTAGACTACACACTATAGTAGATCCTTTCAGCCAGCTGCCTCCTCACTTCTATACCTATATACAGGTCATTGACATTATCTTCAGGCATATCTGTGACTTCATTTATAACTGGCATTGGTTCTGGGTCCACATAAGGCTGGGGATCAGGCAAGCCTGCCCTGGTGCACAGGTTGTGCAATACTGCACAAGCATTTATTATTTTTGCTGCTTGCTCTGGTGTATAATGTAGTGGTCTTTTGTGAAGACATTGCCACCTGCCTTTCAGCTTGGCTATACATCTCTCAATACAACTCCTAGTTCTACCTTGAAAATGATTGTACTGGGAGTCAGGTGTGCCCTGAGGTGCATGCAGTATTGGAGTCATTAGCCAGGCTCTTTGTGGATACTTGTTATCAGCTGAAATTTGAATATGTTGAAGTATTTTACACAATTTAGAATTATCAATTTAGATTATAGATGAATTGTTGAAACAAACCAATGAGCCAACTCATCTCTCCCTGTCTGCTGATGCTCTCAACAAAAGGTCTGATGTTCATTTTGTTCCAAATGTATGCACAACTAGCTGCTCCACCAAACCTGCAGCATATTGCTATTATTTTACTATCAGCATCACACATCTGGAATGGAATAAATTACAAAAACTATGGTGAAATAATTTTATGGGTGTCAATAATAATTGAGCATGCTTACAATTTGTGCATGAATGGAGTATTGTCCCTTTCTGTCATAGAATGCCTCTTCATCATCTCTTGGACACACTATTTCAACATAAGTACCATCTATACAGCCAATGGTTTCAGGAAAATGATATTTTCTGTAAAATCTGTAATTCCAGTTGTAATGTGACTGTTAATCTTTATTAAGATTGTGATTGTAAGGAATTGTTCTTACCCTTCTTTGATTTGGTTTCTTTGCATTGCAGTACTGGGAAATATGATGCAGTTATTTAGTACCATGTTGAGGCCCTCAACCACAATCTTGATAACTCTGCTAACAGATTTCTGTGATATGTTGACACTGAAATCTTTGCCAACTGATTTCTGATGAGAGCCACTGGCTAAGAACGACAGGGTCACTAAAACCTGGGATTGTTATAAAAAATTAGAATGTTACTATATATAGAAAGTATTTGCTAAGAAGTTTTTACATAAATAATTTAAGCATTAACAAAAGCCAAGCCAAGAACAGTTCGATTACCTTTAAAGGAAAAGGTATCCCATTAGATCTTTGAGTTTTTGGAACGACAGGTTCAAGTAATCTTAGAATATTATGGAATACATTTCTATTCACACCACAATTCTTTAGTAAATAAGAATCAGGTAAGTTTACACAGTCAGAGAAATCAGTTAGATGCCTCCGAGCGATCTTTTCCTTATGAGCGCTACCTCTTAACATTTTTAGTTTCAAAAATGTATTCATTCTTCAGTAACATTAAAATATTTAAAAATAAATAAATGCGGCAAAAATTATAGGTAGCTATTATTCTATGTTTATTTATTGTTTAAACTGTCAAACACCAAGCGGTCACCGGTGACCGCAACCTATTGTTCTATAATTGTGTCTTTAATGACGGTACTCGACGAGTTAAGTGGTGCACTTTATTGTATAATTTTCGAATATTTTCTTTAATAATCATTTTCTACATAAAAATAAACAACAACAAACAAAACTTTACGGACTTTACCCACATGATACCATAGACTATGACAAATGACAGTTGTGTCTTTATTTAATAAATTGACAACACATGGTCTTTTGGGTTTTTATCAGCATGAATGTCGATAATAACTGCGAGAATATATTTTTTTTTATTTATTTCGTGAAACAGGTTAACATATTTGACATTAGATGACCGAATGTCATCTGACAGTTAAAAAAAAACAAACTTACACTGTATTACAGCAACAACAAATAGTTTAATCTCAAATTTCTTTGTTTTTATAACAGAAAATTTGTTCATTTAGTTATTATTTACCGTCACTTATAATAGAAGGTAGACTTTTAACAGCCCTGTTGCACTACTTCGCCATTTAACGTACTATTACAACGATGGAAAGACGGAAAGCTAGCCCAGAACAGTTAAACATGCTTTTACATTTTCTAGAAGAAGACAAGGAATTAGCAATAGGGAAATTCACAGGTTTAGAAGGAAGAATTCGTCAAACGAATGCGTGGATTACAATTACTGAAAAACTTAATGCTAATTCCGGGTTTGGCTCAGGTGCAATTAAAACACCTGATAAATGGCAACAGGTCTAACAATTTTTAAAACTTCTTTTACTTTAATTGTCATAAAAGCATTAAAATTGCATTAATTAAAGTTTCATTAATAACTTTCATTTTTAGACATGGAGAGATTGGAAATCGAATGTCAAGAAAAAGGCATTTAAAATAAGAAAAAATAGATTTACACCAGGTTGTAATGCTAACATACAACTAACCGAGGCTGAGGAAAAAATATTAAGACTAATCTGTACAAACACTTCAGTTTTTGGCCTCTCAGGAGTACCAGAAACTTCAGCAGTTAATGCAATGGTAATAAATTTATTGGTCTTTTACATGTACACAAAATTACTTTATATTATTTAGATGCTCAAAGAAATTGTCTTTTCAATTTCTAGGCACCTACACAAAGTTCAGGGCCTACAGATGACATGTGTGGTTCTGATCCTTCCACAAGTAATATGGTAATATTCTCTAATATAGTTATTTATTTTTATATGTGATTTGAAAGTACCAATGAAGAACTATAGTAACATCTTTTTAGAAATGGCCATCAGACTCTCAGCACTTTACAGCAGCAGATATAGAAATGAGTCTTGGTGATGCAGTAGTTACAGACCCTGATGCCGGTATGGGACCCAATGAGGTGTCCTCGGCTCCAGTCACAGGGAAACCTCTATGGAAGCGAGGAAGACCAGTCAGTCAGTATTTAACTTTATTTACTTTTCTTTATTGACAAATTAATTAGGTTTTTCTTAAAGTACGCTTTCTTTCAAGGACTTGTACATGACAGACTTCTGAACTTAGAAGAGGAAAGAATTAGAATAGAGAAACAGAAGCTTTTAGAGAAAAAAAGGTGTAACAATATGAGACTTAAAATGGAAAAAGACAGGCTTGAGATTGAAAGACAAAGAAATGTTCTGTTAGAGAAGTAAGTGTTATTGAAATTATTTTTTATCACTTGTTATTTTTGAAGTGGCATTAAATCTTGATACAGTGGAAAGTTGCTATGAGTCTAGTCACAGTGCTAATCCAATTCTTTTGTTCAATAATGATAATTATTATTACCACGAACTACACAAAGACTTAATATCTATTTTTTATATTTTCAGACTTTTGGTAGCTGTGGAGGCTGTGGCGCATCGATGATAATATAAGAACAAGTTATATAAGCACAACTATATTTTTTTACTCGAATAATAATTATTATTATGGACTGCAATAAGAATTACATAATTGAGCAATTAGTTTAGACTAAGTTTGTGATATTAAATTTTATATTAGTTATAAGATTTTTGAATTTTTGGTAGTTTTCATGCGTATTTTAAAATACGTTTATTTGCCGATTTCGGTATGATAAACTTACGAAAACAATCAAGCCCATGACTCCTCTATTTTAATCAATCTATCGTAGATTGTTCTTCATGTGACAGTCTTTATTAGATTGATAATTGATTGCATCTAATTCTTATTCTTCTTGCAATCATTATTTTAATATTATTTGGACACAGGAAACATTGTGATTAGGATTCTTTAAATAATAGTATTAGTCGAAAAATCTGATTTTTATATTAGACGAGAATTTCAATGGACGAGGAACATACTAAAAATACAGTGTATCAATAGGTACTGGAATGGAACGGTTTGACTGACATTTTGTCAATGTCAAGCACGTCAATGTCAAATTTGTCAAAACATTTCAAAACAATACGCATGTGCTTCGAATTTTCGGTACCTGTATTTTGTTTAGAAAAATAAATATAATTTGGTGAGATAAAACGACTTTGTAGTCAGAAACATGGAAAGTAATAATTTGGATCGTGAATTAATTGGATTATTGTTTCCTGGAATCGTCAAAAATGACGACAAAGCTATTGCCTGTTTAGGTGGAATAAGGAACATTTCAAATGTAAGTTTTATATAAAATAATTAAATTCATGGCCATAATAAACTTCTTTGATTATTTTCACTAATATATACTGGAGAGCAGGTTTACATTATGGTGGTTTTTACCACACATTTGTAGGTTTATAGCAATGCTGGGAGAAAGCGCTTGGGATTGTCTTTCCAACCAGAAAATCCATTTGTAAGGAAGATATATGGCTCTTCCAAGAGAGCAGCCGGAGTACTTATGAAAGTTAAAGTTAAGAAAGTGAAGGAAGGGGATGTAGTAAAGAGGGAAGTTATTTCAACATCTGTGGTTGGATGTGTTAAAACTATGTACAGGTTTGAATGTTAGTATCTACATTTCCTATGAAGACTTACAATATCTTACAAATAATGAATCTTATCAATGTATTATTTATTTTTAGCAATGTGTGACTTCCAATATTTGCCCGTACATAGAGAGACTAGTGATGGCCCTATGACTTGTGATTTAGAGAAATATTTACCTTGTGGGACAGATACTATAGATTTCATGCTGTAAGTAACACAATAAGACTTAATTTTACATTTTTCTATAATTACTCAATACATATAAATATTTTTATTGATTGCAGTCAACCTGCCCCATTATTTTTAATTCCGTCAAGCTTCACTAGGTTTGAGAAACCAATTGGTTATGCCTATACAGACAAGAAATACCCAGAACGGGCTTCTCCAGATCATGACAGAGAAAGTGTTCACAACAAAATTAGGACTTTGAGAGGAGCACAAGTGACCCCATATATATTTAATTTGATTGATGACTTGCCGGCTGGACCACATGAAGTATATCTGAAACAGAGAGAACAGAGACTTGAGTGCCAGCCTACATTAAATCAAGAGTTTGATATTGTTAAAAAAGTAACTTTAACTTTGCATTTATTTCAACATTTCTTCTTTTCTATTATTTATTTATTATGTGTGATATTATTACAAACTTCTTTCATATTCTGCATGCAATTTACCTGTTCTTTTTTACCCCTTAACATTTGTATACGTTTCGCTTTACTTAGCTTCAACTTTTCAATAAAATTAAATATTTTTTCTATAAAATGTTTTCTTTCAGCTCCTAGAAGAGAGACCAATAATGTCACTGAACTTAATAAGGTATCATACAAAGTTGAGGCTGGTGTCTCTGAAAGTGATTATGCCTTGTCTTGCTGTGTACATGAAGACTGGCCCCTGGAGGTCAATGTGGGTGCGGTATGGATATGATCCTAGAAAGGATCCTGGCTCTAGGAAATATCAGACATTGGACTTCAGGTTAAGACATGCAGGTAACAACAGGTTTTATTATTATAGACATTTTCGTCAAATAATCTAGAATCTGTCAGTTTAACTCGTTGAGTACCGTCATTATAGACACAATTAAAGAACAATAGGTTGCGTTCACCAGTGACCGCTTGGTGTTTGACAGTTTAATGAATATTGCAAAGATCTTGTGTCAATACTATCTCCATGTTAAACTTCATTAAAATTGGTTCAGCAGTTTTCACATAAATAATTCACAAATATCCTCATGAATTTTACCATATAATTTTTTTTTTTGAGTGGCGAGTATCATCCATTTCATTTTCTCGCCTTGGGTTAGGCAAATTGGAGTGTGAGACTCTTACTGAATAAAAACCACTCCATTCCTGCTCCTGCTCTTTGAGCCAAGCACTGGCAATCTTTTAGGCCTTCCGCGGCTCCATATCGGCCATCAGCCCTACTGGAGCCTATTTGTGTTGGTCTGATGGTTTTCTGACGCACGCGCGCGGAACGCAACGCTCTGTACGCAAGGGTCTGGTTCTGGTCGGGCGGGCGAGAGAGTTGACAGTCATGAATGACAGTTCAATATACCATAAATAATACTCGCTTGTTTCCTTAGCGGGCGTGAGGTCCATGATAATGTCTCGTGACGAAACGATGGACCGCGAGCGACAACCGAAGAGGAAGTTCGCGGAGGCTGCGTCGGTGAACGAGGACATTGGCGAGGGGACCGTGTACTTCCGACCAGGAATCACGCCCACACAGCGGCATATATTCTACCAGGTGAACAGGAAAATTGCTTATTATATTGGTTTGCGGTTTGTGTAGTGCGAATATTTTGTTGTTAGGGTATTTTGCAGAGGTTTTAAAAGCATTTTCAGCTTTCTATCATCATGTTACAAACTCATTCTCAAAGTCAAAGTATTTATTTAAATTAAACCATAATTTGGTACTTATGAAATGTCAACAAATACAAAATAAATAATAGTCTGTCAGTCAGTCCGTCAGTGAAGCTAGGTGCTCATTCCAAAATGTAAATTCGAATGGAGAAGAACGAGCAAGAAACTCCATTCGATACTCTTTTTAAAAAAAGTATGTTCTACATGTCTCTGCTGATATGTGTGCATAAATCCATTTCTTCTTAACCTACTACGAACCTCAATTAGGGTTCTTAGGTATGACTTAATTATTACACAAATTATTCCTTAGTACTGCGACATCCAAATACCTGAAGTGGAAGAGATCCTGGCTGCGGAGCCGCCGCCGGGGTACATGTGTCACCTGAAGCGGGGCTGGCTGCCGGCCAACACCGACGAGATCTGTCGCGACCATATGTTCCGATACGTTAAGGATACGCTGTTCAATAGTACCAACCCTGAATTGAAGTTTGAGGTAATAATATTTTTAAAAGTAATTGTATCTGCCTCCCGAAATCTTCGCCAATCCTTTGTTGATCGAGTAGTATAACTGAATGTGAGGGTCTGGTAAATAATTGTAGGTATAGGCTTGCTCAGTAATTGATAATTTATGCCATAGGACTCTAGAATTATTTGGAAGGACTCTCAGTTTATAATAGGCGTAAAATGATTTTAGTCATAATTTATAATCGCAACAATCGATGTTTTGCACTTAGTCCAAATAAATATCTGCTTTGTCATATAACAAACCTTTACCTATACCTAGTATATTTATAAATATCCACCTTCATGTAGGTACTAATTAGCTGTATTTAACATCTGAATAACCTTTAAACATTAGATTTGATCTATTTTAAATTGTACCTTAGCAATACCCGATAATATACATGCATATCTACATCGTTAGATAAAGTCAGCATTACTTAGGTACACGCCCATATCTACGGCTGCTTACGAAACCAATTGATTAATTATGTACAATCGTGTATCTATAATTATTCGTGTACGATAGTGTTAATCAGTTTTAATAAGAGAACAAAGAAAATAACCTGTGTACGTGGTCAAAAACTACCGTTCTTAATGAGTAGTGCCTGAACGAAAATGTCTAAATTGATCGAGGTTGCAATACAGATGCATGCCTTTCGTCAAACAGTCAAGTCTCAAACTTCGACTAACGGCGATTATTCAGGGCAATACATATCAGATTTTCGCGGTTAGTCGACTGCACCTACTTATTTTTTTTTATGGCATAAGCCGGTAAACGAGCTGACGGATCACCTGATGGTAAGCAATCGGCGTCGCCCATGGACATCTGGAACACCAGAGGCGTTACAAGTGCGTTACCAACCTTTTGGGGATTAGGAGTTTGAGGATCGTTGGGGAGATTGGGGAAGGGGAGGGTATCTGGGCCTCTGGTAACCTCACTCACACGACAAAACACAACGCAAGCGTTGCTTCACGTCGGTTTTCTGTAAGGCCGTGGTATCACTCCGGTCGAGCCGGCCCATTAGTGGCGAAGCATGATTAATAAGTTAAAAAAAGCTTGTAGGTGCACAAAATATGTCTATGCATTGATAATTCAAATTGATTTTTGTTACAGGCACCCAGCGGCAGTGATAGTGAATCCAACTCTGAAGACGACACTGCTGTTAACGATGTAGATGATATTGATGATAGTAAATAAACAATTACTTGTGATACTTTCTTCGTTTTCTTATCTTCCTAGTAATTATATTAATAAATAGAACATACAAATAGAAGTTATCTTAAAGACATTAGAAGCTATGGCTATCATTATTGATAATAATTTGCTTGAACATCATTCGGGGTGGCGGGAGCTGTTAAATGTGTAGATTTATATAGTGAGTCATTTTCTCTGGGAGAGAAAGGAAAGGGACAAGAAGAATTACAAATTGCAGGCTAAAAATCTAATTTCTGCACTTAAAATCCTCATTTTTGTCCATCATAGTCATTATATGATGCCTTTCTGAACCAAACCCTGCCCCCTTAGTCTGCCAAGAGAATTGAGAATTGTTAATCGGCATCCTTTACTCAGTACCTCCGACCTCTACGTATTTAACATAACATAACATCACGCCTTTTATCCCCGAAGGGTAGGCAGAGGTGAACATTGCGGCACTTAACGCCACTGTACAATGTAACACCCACTTTTCAAAGTTTATGTTATGAGTCCCATGTAATAGGGGGTGAGCCTATTGCCATATACCGGGCACATTTCCAAACTCCGTGCTGAGGTTTTTACAAACCCAGTAATACTTTGCCCGACCCGGGAATCGAACCCGTAACCCCTTGCCGAGTCGCACATGCGACCACTCTGCCAACGACTCTGCTTTTTAAATTATTCAGGATCATTGTCTTTGAATACTTACGTCTAACAATTGCATAACGGTAATTACCTACGTAGTACGAAGGTAGTTTGTAGGATATGCGTAGCACTGAAAATGGAAAGATTAGGTGAGTACGAAGTACCTATGTCGGTAACGTCCCCCACAAGGTCGTGCAACTCATTACACATCGATAGCCAACGCTTATCGTAATCTTAGTAGGTAGGTATCAATTAGCGAAAATGTAAAGTTTGGGACATTTGTGGGACGTCGAGTTGTTTCCATAAATATCAATTGCGTTACCCTTCCCTTTTCCTAATTACAATTGTAGTTTCAGAATTATGGGTTGTAAACTAGGGATATATATCCGATAAATAATACTAAGATCATATCAAGAGAAGATCACTAAACGCATTCTTGGTTAGTCTAGTTACTTCAGCTCTCATTTCAAAAGAGTCGCTCTGTTGCGCGGGTTCATTGCAAGTGCATTGATAGTTCAGGTTCGAACCTTACCTATCCAAGCAATTTCTCATTTAGGTAATCTTCCTCTCGTATTACACTGAAAATAACGAGATGTCGGAAAAGATCGGTGCCCCACTGAGCTAACGTCTGACGACAACATCAACATACTAGGATTCACAAGGTTTTTTTTAAGGGGGAAAAATCATCAATCTCAGAATGACTTCTCCCGCCTGGGTGAGGCGGGAGGGAGGTCAGACTCTTACTGACTAAAAACCACCCCGTTCCTCTTCTGCACTTCGAGCCGGAGCCCCGGTAACCCGTTAAGTTCTCCGTGGCTCTGAATCGGCATCAACCCTATTGGGCCCCCCCATCCGTGGTGGTGGTGATGGCTCTTTAAGGTGCGCGGGAACGCGACGCGCCGTACGCTCGGGTCTGGTTCTGGTAGGGCGCCGAGCCACCCATGCTCGCCGTCCACAGGCCCGCGCTTGCAACATGTACACGTACAACGTACTTAAGTACTTTATGCCTATCGTATTAGGGCATATACTATATACCTAATGTACATAATAGTACGTATCTTAATGCGATAGAATGTTCCGGATAGTAACATTATCAATGCTGAGTTCATTGCTTAATTTATCTACTTACAATGTTCGGCGACTTGTAGCGAAATATCGTTGGAATCAGAATTTAATTACCTATGTTTACTTATTTAATTAATAATAGATAGGTACTAATTAGCTATTAGTTATTGATGTTATGTCTGTAAAGAGAGGGTCAGCACCTACAGTAGGTAATAATAAAACCAATGATACTAATACCCGCCCATATTAGATATTGTCAGTCAAAGTGCACCAGAAAGATTAGACTTTAGAACCTCGTGGAGATCTAGGTTCCGCTATATCTACCTACTTAATATATGACTAATGTCGATTTCTATTGAAACATAAAATTATATTATGCGTATTGTAAACAGGTACTTACTTATTTCTTTTTTAATTTAAAAATCTTTTTAACTCTCGGGGATTCACTTCGTTTTATTGGGGATATAAGATAAGACGAATGGCTCAAGACTAGGATTTTACCCTGTGTCGCGTCTTTCTATTGTATTTATTTATTTATTTATTTATTCTTTAATGTACATAATTTGTTAATGTACATAAGGCGAACTTAATGTATTTGTATATTTACAAACATACGATTTCACATCACACTTAGACCCAGAACAACTATTGGTGAATCAAATGAAGAGCTGTTCCGTACGGGAATTGAAATTGCGACACGTCGGTCGCACAACTATTGGCCCAGCCCGTCAAATGTCCAAGCAGAGCATATTGTAATAAGATTTACCTATATTTAGATGAATGTAATTGAAAATTGTACTGTGTCAATTACAGTAGGAACCTAGCTTATGATAATGCCAGGTAGAACAAGTAGGAGTTTCATCCAAAAACACATTTCGCTGATGGCTAGATACTCTCAGCGATTTGGCTAACATCGCAATTCAATAATGTACCAAAGTTAAAGTCAAAGCATTTATTTCAAATAAACCCTACTTTGGTACTTTTGAAACGTCAACAAATACAAAATAAATAATAGTCTGTCTGTTAGTCCGTCAGTGATGCTAGGTGAAGCTAGCCGCTAGGTGCTCATTCTAAAATGTACTTAGATTCGAATGGAGAAGAACGAGCAAGAAACTTCATACGTTACTCTTTTTTTAAAAAGTATGTTCTACTGCAGTGTCTCTGATACATATTGCAATACTGTACATATATGTGAGAACAATACAAAGACAATCTTGACAAAACTTAGGTACTAAAATAAAAAACACAAAACAAAAAAATCTTATAGTCTAACATGGTGCTCAAATATGCATAATGACAATCCATAAAAAATAATGCTTCTATACAAGAACCATCCCATACCATACTATCCCCGTCAATTATTTTCGATACTTGCATTGCAACTAGGTACTTAATTATCCCCAAGTAATAGGTAATTTGATAATATTCAAGTGACCCCTGCAGTTCAGTAGGTACCTATTACCAATCTACTTACGTCACTAATGATAACATTCAATTACAATTTCGATGCATACATAAGTAATCAGTCAAAATTTCAATCGATAATAAGTTATCTCGTAGCTAAGGCTTCCTATCAATCAGATAATGCAGTTTATGTTTAGATAGGTACCCCGCATATTTTTGTGATACAGCTGTCATTATGATAATTACAAATTAAATCTGTTGTTAAATCATTTTTAGGCGGATTATAAATAAATACCAAAAATTTAATCTTTTGGCCGCGCGCGGTCTTATTGTCATAATTAAGTATATTTCAACAAAGATGTTTTTTGAGCAAAGTCCGTACCAATGTGTATATATAATGTAAAGTTTCGAACAAAACCATTGTCTCTGAGTATTTTAAAACAATGAAATTTAAGATTCACGTTATAAACTGCACATTATTCTTTGTTACTAGATATATAGAATGTAAAATGTGTGTAGGTATTGAATTAATGATGGAATAACGTTATTTCAGTTAAGGCTTTAACTTAAGCTCAGATTTTCAGACAACCTGTTAATACTTAATATCTGTTTTTCACTTTCAGGTAAACTATAGATATACTTAAGTAATACCTACCTTATGAGTTTGTTGTTAGAAAAATTAAACAAAGGAGACAGTGGACAGATGTTACCTTAGTTCGTTTCATGATTCATATTCTTTAGAAAACTTAAGAAATCGATTGATTGCTTCATTTATTATTATATCATATTTTACTTACGTTTTAAACACGAGGCAATGGTAGTGAACAAAGGCAGCAGTACTGTGCTGACACCCTCACGACAAATGTCTCTTTGTGCGTCCAGTACCTAAGTACATGAGTCACGTATATGGACATTGTTCTTTTCTTGTACACTGTATATATCTTTGATCTGTGAACTATGGACTACTCCATGTTGATGTAGGGAACATGAGCCAAACAAAAAAATATTGATGGAATCAATTAGTAACTACCTATGTCACTATGTATGTTGTCAATATTACTTATTGCGTGGTTAGCTTACTTATTTGGTGCTAATAAAAAGTCGGCTATTGTTAATCCGAAAAAGTTAGCTACATATTGAAATACGGTAAAGGAGATACAAAGGTTATTCCGAATTTACTGGTTTGGTAAATATCTACGTAGATATACACGAGTGATGTACACGTACAAGAAACGTCTGTAAAACAAAAACCCCATTGCGTAAAATCTAAAAAAAATATTACGTTTCAAAATGTGCCTTCCAGCAAGAAATGCCCGAAGAAAAAAAAAACTATGTGGTGAGGTAATTTAAATTAATAGAAGGAATTACATTTTACAGGATTCCTTTGCATTGAATATTGGTACTGAACAGAATAGCAGAATATTTTTTGACGATAGATTGCATCCTGATGTTATTTTTTATAATAACTATCGTGAGACATACCAAATTAACTAAAATCACCCGTGATAGCGCACGCTACTCATGAAGAAGAGCCCCTCTATAGCTCGAAACTAGTAGAGCTTTTTTCAGTACATTCACGTAATTAACCCGCGATTTTTAGTTAATCCTGATTTTATTGTTTCTTGTAATGGTTAATCAAGGTTAAGATAGACGAGATTATTAATCTATTTTTAGATATTAACTAGTAGGTACCTAACATGTAGGAGAGAGAGTGGAGTATATAGAGACTCTCATATCTTCAATCTTCACTAATCTATAGCATACACGATTCAGGATGTTGTTCTATCATACATCGATTGTCTGTACCTTAGGTACCTAAACTGGTGAGCAATGGACATCAACTATGTATGACAATTTACATCGCAAACGTATAGGTAAATTGGACTATCTAATCAGTTTATACAACAATGTCTGAAGCTTGTATCTAGCTGCATGTAGAGTTATTTGTATAATAGGTATTATTGCATAATGATAGAGCCATTTCATACACTTTTACTTTAAAAATTGCTAAGTAATCCTTTTTTAATGTTTCGTAATAGAAACTAGACAGCGAACACTAGAATTTGTCTGTAGTGTCAAGATTTGGGATAGTATGAGGATTCAGAAATCATTGCCGGGTCACTGACCTATGTCGTTTCTACAAAGATTTATCAGATTAGAAAAGGATTATTCTAGGTGATTTCAGTCGGTATTTTTAGTAACTTATACTTCATTTTGTCATTGCGACAATAACAAATTCTAGATAAGTTTCTATAGTTTCTGGTCATCTAAAGTTTGATGAATGATCAAAATAATAGAAATTGTACTAAACTTATAATTTAGAAAAAATATGTTTTTTAAAACTCGAGAAAGAAATAAAGCAGACTGACCTAGTATTTCTGAATTGAATTACCTAGGTAGGTAGTAGGTAGTATATTATGCACAACAAAATTTCACAGCCGATCTTAACTTCTAAAGTATTTTCTTATACATATTTAGAAATGTCGAAAATTAGGATTTGTAACTTAAGGGTGTATATTTTTAAATTGTTTGCATAAACAGTGTAAGTTGTAAGGCACTACGCTGGGGCACGAAGTAAGCGTGTGCGCTTATCGTGTCTATATAACAGCTGGCTGGCTGCGCGCGCGCACACTCGCTAACGCCTCTCACCCGCCGCACGATCGATTTTCCTCCCTTTGTGATTACCACCGGCGCGTGATACTACGCGAGTGAGGTTAGTGCATTTTCACAATACAGTTTTTTTATAAGTGAAAAATTCAAACAAGGTTTGCAAACTTCTGTGTTCCAAATTGTGCAGTGCTTAGTTTGTGCATGTTGCATTGTGAAATTTTGTATGGAATTGTGCCTGCAATTACAAATATTCTGAAAGAGTTTCTACTTATAATAAATATTCGTCACTACGTCGCAAGGCTGGGACTGATTTTTGAGTGTGAAAAACTAAGTTACTACTACTATTAATTAAGTACGAACCCCATCATAACACTACTTATTTTTTTTACTTTACTAAAACTTAAATATGAATTAAAATGTGGTGTAAATGTTGAATTTTAGGAAAAAAACTTTCAAGTTTTCACTCCTTGTTAAGAACTAGGTCAAATTTTTCTTTTAGTTTTGAATACTTTATATTTCATTCGTTAATTTTATTATAACTTACTTCTTGCAGTTAATAATTAATAAATCATCACAATAATACCAGGATGCAATCTATAAAAGTCACCATTAGCTCTTAAAAAGCGATTTATTGCGACCACATTCAATCTACGGTCTATAATTTATAGATAACACATAACACTTATTCTTTTATTAATACTTTTACGAAAAATATTCACGTGAATTCCATCGTTGACCGACTACTTGTACTCTTATTAAATACTTAATCTTTAACGTATGTAAGTAAGCCTTTACATATTACTAATTCGTTTTTATTGAAATAAAGATAAGTTAGCAAAATTACGAGTCAATAAGATAATATTGCGCGATAGCATTTTTTTGAAAAATTATAACGTAAGTATGTGGATTGATTTTTAATTACCAAAAAAAACAACAATCAGCAATTAGTCCACGCCTAGACTTGTAGGAGACTTAGGTACCTGTACATATTAATAGTTATGAAGTAAGCTAATTATCTAGAACAATTATGTACTCGTGTAGAGTTGATTGAACTCTAGATAAATAGCAAATAGATCCTTCTAAGAGCTCTTCAGTAAGGGAGCATTTTCTATAACATTTGTATTATTTACACAAGTACACAATATCATAAAAGCTATTTAGTTGATAAGGATATAAAGAGCCAACGTGACTGCTAACAGACAAACAGAACTTTCGACTTTTGATATTTGCTTTGTGTCGCCTCGTCGATATAGGTACTTAAGTAATTATTTTGTTAACAAGACAATACTTTTTGAAGAAGACGTGATTATATCGTTAGACACTTACAAATTTTAGATATGAGGAAAAGTATAAGAAAATTTCGCAAAGTTGATTAGAGAACTTCGTTTAAAGTTTATTACATTTCATAACTTAAAGTGCTTAGACATCTAAGTTTAATCGATGACGATAAACTGAAATTGTAAATTTTATGCACCGCTATATTCGCATTAGATTAATAGTTATTAGCGGCATATTGTTATGGGCTTGCAGGTAATTTTAGTAATGGCTAGTGCTCAATAGATTTGTGCAATCGATCTCCAACGCAATGATGTGTTTTTAAACGTGAAGTCGGCGACACGTGCTCCCGCGCACCGTGATATGAATCCACAATAAGTCCTTGCCTTGCGGCCAGTGTCATGTCAACATACACCGACCGTAACTATACGATGCTCTTTGAGAATAATGAGTGTGAACGTTTTATCTGATCGATTAAAGTTTAACATTATTTTGGAAACCTTGTAACCACGCATTACGAAACTAAAACCTTAGTACTACGAGTATAGTGTTCTATATGAACTGTTTTCTTTTTTGCAGTTTTGAAAATGAGTTCAAATGAGTTCAGATTGGAGCGCAACGTTGAGTTGTCGCCAGAGACAAAAGCTATTGCAGAACAGGAGTTACGGGAAACTCCAGAGAGGGTGCGTGAAGCCTTAGAGAGGCTGCGGGAGCTGCTCAAGGAGAACAAGGACCTACACTTCGGAGATGACGACGAGCTGCTCACAATCTTCCTGCGCCCTTGCAAGTGGTACCCAGAGAGCGCGATTGCACTAGTAAGTCACTTACGATACTTTTGTGCTGATCTAATAGTCTCTGTCGTTGTTATTTTGTTCATTTTGATGACAAGTTAAACTCATCGCGACGCGTGCGATTATAACAAGTGTTAAGTAGGACTATGCGAATCGCGGACGTCGCACTACTTACATTAAACTAGGTTACACTCAAATGTGTAAGTTAATAAATAAATTATTGTATTACGATTTCCTTTAATAGTAATGTTTGATTGAGCCGCTCGATATCTTGAACAGACATTCGAGCGTAGGTTAAGCAGGTCATATTGTTACAGCCTACTAAATTTGCGTAACTCGGCAACTACATAATGTGGTGATGTTTGGCAACTTCAATTACAAATGGTTAACGACTGATTTCGTTGGACTTGTCCTAGACCTCGCTTATTACGCGCTTTATACCAAGGATCATAAACAGTGATTATAATCTACTTTACAATGATGAGCTTCTAGACGTTTGTTTGTACACGTATACTTACTTACTCACTTACTTATTTGACCTCCTTTTTGTGTACTTTTAAGTTAAGTTAGTATCTATTGTAAAAACTTATTTTTCAAGTGACGAAAATAGATGGTTCTCGAGGCGACGTGTTAATTTTTTCAGCTTAATCTTTTTATAGTTTTCTGACGATCTGTCACATACAATTGGCAAGTCCTAGGCTTGGGGGTCACGGCTTCAGTGCCGTACTAGTGACGACATTGTGCCTTTTTGTTGTTACCTTAAAATAGAAATTCATTAAATAAGATCTTTGACCTTTAGCCATTATGGTATTTACAGCTCATTAACAGAATAAATAAATGAAAAGTAATTAGTCGATATATAACTGTTATGTATTTAGGTATTTCCTACAATTAGTAACGTGTGTCGAAGTTTATTATTCTTCATACGTATAATAAGTACCTTATTTCTGCCTATTTTTATTGGAGGATGTAGGGCGTCTATTATCTACAAACATATTTTCCATTCCCTTTTCGCTATATAAAATTGAAGAGGCTTTTTGATGGTCTTCAAATATGCTCGATTTCTTGAAGTACTTACGTTCTGTAATTCGTATTATGCGACAAGCGGGTTTTTACGTCTATGCATCAGATACATTGTAAAACAGGCTTTTTTAAAAGAGTAACGAATGAAGTTTCTTGCTCGTTCTTCTCCACTCGAATCTATATTTTGGATCGAGCGCCTAGCTTCACTGACTGATAGACTATTCATTTAATATTTGTTGACGTTTCAAAAGTACCAAATTATAGTTTAATTGATATAAATGCTTTTGAGTTTGAGTTTGAATGAATACTTCCTAGTTCTTAATATTAACTTTTGTTCTTTTCCCAATTTTAAATTTGGTCTAAAGATAAAGCGAGTGAAATAATAATAATAGAGATGTAATTCATACATAAAGCACAATTAACTAAACTAAACTAAACACGTAGTAACCTGTGTAGTTACATAATATAACGAATACCTACGCAGTGTCACTGCACTACGTATTACATTGTCACTACAATGTAACATATTAATAAGCAATAACAATTAAAATGTAGGTAACAATTTGTACCTAGTGATTTACGTTTTCATTCATTGTATATCTATGTATCTTTCATTTCAATTCATCTATTAATTACTTGGTTAACATTTAAAAGTATTTATTGAGGGTTTTTCAAGAATACATGGACTTTGTTATGTAAATCTATTAAGGAAGATTATTAGTGTTTCAGTTTTTGTATTGGTTAGGAAGTTATATTATATTTATTACTTATTGTTCCATTAAGGATATATGATTAATATTATTTTGTGGGAAAGTACATTCGTCTTTTTTGTTAGTCTCATGTTCGCGTGCATGTAGTGGAGAGGAGTACACTCTGGTTTATTAGGTGCATAATAATCTATGTAAAAATTAATTGCTATTCGTTCTCTATAACTCGAGAACGACTGAACCAATTTGGTTAATTTTGGTCTTGAAATTTTCGTGGAAGTCAAGGTAAGGTTTAAACGGTGAGAATTAAAAATAACAACACCATTGAGGTAGTAGGTACGCAGACTGCCGGCTGAGCTAGTCTATCTATATATATACATATAAAAACGAATTGCTATTCGTTAGTCTCGCTAAAACTTGAAAACAGATAGACCATTTAGGCTAATTTTGGTCTTGAAATGTTTGTGGAAGTCCAGGGAAGGTTTAACAAAGTTTTGAGGCAGCACAAAGTTAGCTGGGTCAGCTAGCTAGATCAAATAGCGAAACATCATATTATACAAAACTTGTATTTGCTATATCGCTACCACAGGACCAGAGATGCGGTGTTTATCTAGTAGAACAACATATTATATTATTTATCTATCAATTCTAAATATACATATTCTATCATGTTGAATAGTTACACGATGATGTGTCTGATCCCACCCGTTGTATGTAATTGTAATGTCACCAAGTTATCTCTCGTTAGCCAAGAGATAAAACAATTTCCTCTGTTCATAAACATAATAATATAGGAATCTGCCTCGGGAAGGGCGAGATAAGCCGCGCAACGATGTCAAAGTTCAACAGTTATCATAACGAGATAACTGTTATTTATCGAACATCACTATTGACCGTTATATTTTTAAATTGTCGGTGTAAATAATACATTAGAAATGTTTGTGGAACTCATAGGTCATGAGAACGTTGAGGTTACAATGTGTTATGTTGGAACATTTGAAATAATTGAACTCGGACGCTGTAATTGCTATTGTAACATAATGTAGCTGCTTCAGACTACCAACTACTTATTATAACCGCGAAAGTTTGAGGGGATGGGTAACCATATATACCGGTATACTTTTTTTTTAAGGGGGGAAAATCATCGAATGACTGCTCCCGCCTGGGTGAGGCGGGAGGGAGTGTCAAACTCTTACTGACTAAAAACCACCCCGTTCCTTCTCCTGCACGTCGAGCCAGAGCCCCGGTTACCCGTTAGGTTCTCTGCGACATATATCGGTATACTGAATACAGTATACCGGTTACCGGTATATATGGTTACCCATCCCCTCAAACTTTCGCGTTTATAATAAGTAGTTGGTAGTCTGAAGCAGTTGTCTATTGACACAAACGGTGAAGGAAAACATCGTGAGGAAACCTGGGTTTATAATTTCTAATTATTATAAGTTTGAAATCGCCAACCGCATTGAGCAAGCGTGGTGATTAATGCTTAAAACTTCTACGTATGAGAAGAGGCCTTTGGTCAGCAGTGGTCACTTATAAGCTGTTGATGATGATACTGAATAGGTCATTAAGACGATTAAACTTTAGTCGATACATAAGTACATAGAACACAGCTTGCTTAGCTACAATTAAAGCTTTCGATTTACTTTTTAGGCCTTAAACTCAATGCCAATAGAACCTTCATTGTAGTTTGTTATTACCTTTTCAATAAGGAATTTAGCAAACTACGCATCATGTATGAGTATTTCCGATAACTATTTATTTGTGTTGATCGCTACCGTGGTGTTTACGCGCAAGTATCGTGGAGTGCAGATAAACAGTGACTCCGTTCAATGCCAGCCACTCTATAAATTATCACATATTTGCAACTAAACATATTGCACTTGTTGTTAAGCTGGTTATCAGACAATAACAGATACATTAAATATAGTCGTTATATCATTTACTAGGTACCTATTAATCCTCTCTATCTACTAGCCATATGATGCAAAACATTGAATTGGTTATAAACCAGAATCTTTTTTACACAAAGAAGTAGATTATTAGCTCATCAACATTTTATCATTGATTATAACGATAACACAAAAATCTGAGCAAAGGCCAAAGAATTGTTGAAAGTTGCTCGGCAACAAATTAATTAGACATATTATTAAAATTAAAAAGTTGTGAAATTGATGCAGAGTGAGTACTCAAGTGAGTGGATTTATTTAGTGTTTACATTATGATTACCTAGTCATAATGTTGTACACTACACTGCACAGACCTATTCATACAAGAGCGTATTTGTTTAATAAACATGGCTACTTGTTGCATGTCTCACTCGGAAGATTTGCAATAGACCACTACAGCAGTGCAGTGCTCGCTGTAAAGTAAATGGCGGGAAAACAGAGCCACAAGGTCTCACCGCGAACAAGCACGTCGACCGACACGTGTGCCTGAGTATAACATAACATAACATCACGCTTTTTATTCCCGAAGTGGTAGGCAGAGGTGCATATTATGGCACTTAAATCACTTAATGCCACTATCCAATGTAACACCCACTTTTCGCTATTTATCTTATGACGGGGTGAGCCTATTGCAATATACCGGGCACATTTCCAGACTCCATGCTACTACGAAGATTTTTACAAACCCAGTAATACTTTGCCCGACCCGGGAATCGAACCCGAGACCCCTTGCCCGGCAGTCGCACTTGCGACCACTCAGCCAATGAGGCAGTCAGTCAGTGTGCCTGAGCCTTAATGAAAATTTTTCTTAAATCACATTTTGCCCTCATCTATCCACCCTCACAAACTATTGCATTTATAAAAACGAAACAAGCAACAAAAAGTGTAGTAACGAACTAATAATGTACAAAGAAGCTACCAGAAATTAAACAACAATGAATTGATAAAACGCAACATTTAATTAACATATGAAACAATTAGAACAAAGGTATTATGATACAGTATTAGAAGATTGACAAAGACTAGAGTTTCAAAACGAAGTGAAACCTTGAAGTTGATTACTAATGTGTTATTGTCCAAAGGGCGTGTTCATGATCCGATTAATTTGTGAAACAGTGGATAGTCGGCGTCAGTCAGCTCCGTCAGTCGGCTCGATCAGTCAGTTATCAACAACCGACCCGGATATATACTGCATGGTTCATAGCTGATAGTAGTCTATCTATAGTTAGTAACATATTATTGTATATTTCCATTCATAGTTAAAATCTGAATGATATGGTTCACTTGGACTTTGGTTGCTTACTTATGTTGTATGGACTTGTTACTATAATGACATCCTTTT